CCACAATAGCCTCCAAGACGGCTAAGATGACCCCAAGATGCCTCCAAGACGGCCCAAGATGCATCCAAGACGGCCTAAGATGGCCTCAATATTGCCCAAGACGGCCCAAGACGCCCCCAAGAGCCTCCAAGACGGCCCAAGAGGCCTCCAAAAGAGGAGGGCCCGAAGAGACCAACATCATTGATTTCCCTTAGGTTTTTGAATGATGTTGGCATTTGTTTCTTCTCGGCATTCCGACGGCTCAAGCGGCCTCCAAGATCGCCCCAAGATCGCCCACGAGGCCTCCAAGATGGCCCCATGATCGCCCACGAGGCCTCCACGACGGCCCAAGAGGCCCCCAAGAGGCCTCCAAGACGGCCGAGTTGGCCTCCAAGACGACTAAGATGGCCACAAGATGCCTCCAAGACGGCCCAAGATGCACCCAAGACGTCCTAAGATGTCCTCAATATGGCCCAAGACGGACCAAGAGGCCCCCCACGATGCCTCCAAGACGGCCCAAGAGGCCTTCAAGAGTTCCTCCAGGAGGGCGCGAAAGGATCAATCATTACTGTTTCCTTAGGTTTTTGATGGATTTGGGCAGTTGCTTCTTCTCGGCATTCCGACGGCTCAGGACGGCGCAAGAGGCCCCCAAGATCGCCCAAGAGGCCTCCAAGATGGCCCCATCACGGCCCAAGAGGCCCCCAAGACGGCCCCAAAAGGGCCTCCAAGACGGCCCAAGAGGCCTCCAAGGCGCCCAAGATGGCCTCTAAGAAGCCCTGATATGCCCCAAGAGGGCCCCAAGACGACCCAGACAGGCCCCCAAGACAGCTTCCGACGGCGTCGGACAAGCCAGAAACGCCCTAAGACTGCCAAAGAGGCCTCCAAGAAGCCCCCAAAGGCCCCCAAGAGTGCCACAAGAGGCGCCCAAGAGGCCTCCTCCTCCTCCTCCTCCTCCTCCTCCTCCTCCTCTTGTATCCTCATCCTCCCCCTCCTCCTCTTCTTGCGACCCCATGCGTTCCCTGAAGTCTTTCCAACCCGACTCGGAGAACAACTGGCCCGATAGCTTGGCCAAGCTCTGGCCCAGCTGTCGGCCACAGAGGCGCTTCCAAAGGGGCAGGGGGCGGCGGTGACTCGCCGTAGGCGTCTTAGATAACGCCAACGTTTCAATATGCACTGATGATTCCTATACGCCCCCGCATGCTGTTCCCAGAAGCTCCAAGGCAGCGCCGAGACGGACCGACGCGACTCCGTTATGTCTCATTATTCGAAATAAGGGGCCAGCGGCAAGGAGCGAAATCCTTACGGATTATACAATGATGACGTTGGATACGTTGCATTAAAGCTTTCGCAGAACAAAGAAAACGCTCCCGTTCAGCGCGTCACCTCCAGACGTTGATTCTACAGGCGTTTCTTTCCTCTCCTTTTCTAGGCATGCCGCGCGAGGAAGCGGAGAGGTACGTCCAGAACTACATGTGCGCAGTGGACCTGCGACCAGTCACGGACGAAGACCACGTCACGCACGACGAGGAGCTGCACAGCGATGAAGAGTTGGACCCGAGAGAATATTCCACGCAGCCACAAGGCGGAAGACGCGCGCCAGGGTCCCGCCGGGCGGACGATCGCAGCGGTGGAGGTCCAAAAAGAAGTCGGGAAGCAATGTCCAGGGGCGACGCCGTGCAGGGCGAGGGCACGAGTAGAAATAGCGGTTGACGAAAGAGCCATGCAGGGGGCGGGCTGTTGGAGTGGGGCGACGACGCATCGCGCTGGGCGCAGGCGACGGCCTCGGCGTCGGGAGCCCACAGAGGAAGCGGCGCGGGGGATCCGAGCGGCGGGGCGCGGGTGGCGATGGGGAAGAAGGCAGCGGCTTCCAGGGCGCGGGCACGAAAAAACAGAGCTGCGAATGGCGCGCTGAACGCGGGCCGACGTAGCGTCGTGGAGAAGGTGGCATATCGGGCCCTGGCGTAGGAATTCGCGCCTGCCGCCTAAGGGAAGAAGGCAGGGAAGAGAGAGGTGCCGCGCGGGGACATAAGGCAGGGGCCCTTCGGGAAGAGCTTCGTCACCGACGAGATCCGCAAGGAACTGTCCGACAAGGAGACGGGGTGGACGCGCAGCCTAGACTGCGGTCGGACGATCAAGTCCACGCCCACAGGGTGGCGCTCTCTGGGGGATCGGCGAGAAAGCCGCCGCCTGTGAGAACGGCCAGGTCGCGCCCTCTGCCTGGCTCAGCCGTCGCGCTCTGCGCGCGCAGGGTGTCGGCGTTCCAGAGGAGGGGCCATGATTGGATGGGGCCCTGAGGACGGGGACCTCGACCAACCAAAGTTCCATGCGCGATCCACTCCCTACCGTTAGGGTTAGGTCGGGCATGTCCTCCTACAGGCGGAGCTTGGACGAAAAATAGAACATGTTAAAACATACAAGATAATCATAAACAATGATGGAAAATTGGTCGCCAGATTATGTTTGCACTATTTTTGAATGTTCCGCCTGAATATTCCTCCTGTAGAGGGACACGCCCGACTTAACGTTAGGGCCCCATCACTCAGCGCCCAATCTTTGAACCGCCGAGGGTATGCCCGCGACTCCTGGCCGCGCCAGCGCCCGCCGCCGCGTCCGCGGCCACGGCCGCGGGCGGCAGACCAGGGCGCGCGCTCGAGTCGCGTTGGGTCGGGCATGTCCTCCTACAGGCGGACTTCGGAAGAGAAAAAAAAAACACCCAGAGAAAAGAGTCAACACGTGGCCCCAAACTACCTGACACAGCGCCCCCCGACTATTTTTTGGGACTGCTGTGGAACATTCCTCCCGACGTGCCCGACGCGAGAGAGTCGCGCCCACGCGCCCTGCGCGCCCGCCGCCGCCGCCGTGGGCCGCGCGCGTCACCTCGGGAGGCCGGGCCGCCGCTGCGCCGCTCGGGCGCGGCCGTCGCCCGGGCCGGTTGCCCAACGGGGTGCGGTGGCGGGTGGTCTCGGCGTGCCCGGCAGGGCGTCGGCGCCGGGCCCGTCCGACAGCCGCTTGCGCGGGCAGCGCCCAGGATCCCGTGCAGGCTCCGCCGTGGGGCCCGCCTGCAGAGGGGAAGGGCCGCCCACCCCGAGGCCCCGGCTCCGCAGAGACGTGGCCAGGCCCACTCCGACGGCGACGGCCTCGTCCTGGGAGAAGGCCCTGCAGTAGCGCTCTGCCATCTCGAAGGAGCACTGCCACACAGCTGGGGCTCGAGCGGAAGTCAATGCGAGGGCAACCTGGAAACCCTCGGCACGGTTGCCCTTCACTAGGAGTGGAGCCGAGAAGGCTCAGATGGAGGAGGGAGAAAAGGGCGATTAGTAAGAGGGGGGGGAGGAGGAACATGGACGAGGAGGAGAAGCAGGAGGGTAGATGAAAAGGGAAGGCGAGAAGGAATGATGAGGGGAAGGGACTGAGGAGGATAACGGCGCAGCGAGGGCGAAGGGTGATGACGACGAGCAGGAATGGGAGGAGGATTTGGGGTACAGAAGCACACAGCGACAAGGACCGTGGAGGAAGAGGACGTGTCTCTGCGCCACCCTGATGGGCATACTCAGCAAGCGAGGGCTGCGATCCACACCCGGGGGTGACAGCGCTCTCCTGCCGCTGGGCACTGCGCCGTCCCAGGGCGGACGTGGCACGCTGCCGCACTCCCCTCGCGCTGCGGGAACGTGCCCGTTGCTGCGTGATTGCCCGTCGGTCGGAGGGAGCGAGTACAAACATGGAGCAGGATGGCGTTGGAAGTAGGCGGGACGTCCGCCCGCCCCCCGAAGGAGAGGAGCGAAAAGGTGAGACCACTCTCACCGCCAAGACAGGAAGGCGCCGAAACGTGGACTGGGACCCAGACATCCAGGACACACCCACCTTCAACGACCGACGGGTGCCCGTCCCGGTGGCGCGGAGCAGGAGTCGGGAGCGGCCAAGAGGGGGGTGTCCAAGAGGGGGGGGTGCAAATCATGGCCGGCGGCATGTGCGCGGCCCAGCGGGGGGGCCGGGGACGTAATGAATCAAGAAGAGGCGACCTGAGATCTGGGGAGATATCATGGCCCCCCGCATGATATCCACCCCCCCTAGTCATCACCCCCCCCCTCTTTTCCGCCCCCGAAGGAGGCAGGGAACGGGAACGGGAGGAAAGCCGGAAAGGGCCCGCAGAGGAACCTCGGAAGCAGGCCAATCGAGACAACAGCGGCTCCCTCAGGCCCAGCCCAAATCCGCTAGACACCAGCCTCCTCCTCCTCCTCCTCCTCCTCCTCCTCCTCCTCCAGATCTCTCTCCTGGGGTCCGTGCGGGCCCACATCCGCGAGGCCTCCGCCTGCGTGGCGGCGAGGAGCCTCGGGGAGGCCTCAGGGCAAGGGAGAGCTCGTCGAGCCGTCTTGGGGATGGTCGTCGGCTCCCTCGCGGCCCTCCCCAGGAAGGCCCAGACTCGAATCGAGAAGCCGCATCGGCAATCGAAACGAATCGGCTCGGCGGAAATCGGCAGCCGAGTCGGGAGAAGTCGACTCGGCAGAAGCCGGCAGGCGAGCAAACCTCCATGGAGAAATCGGAGTCCGCATCGGAATCCGAAGTCGAACTGGATCCGAATCGGAAGCCATCGAGTCGAATCGACTCGGAGGAGACGAAGCGAGCCCTGTTCCCTGGGCCTCCCGATCCCCCTTCAGAGTCGGCGGACCGGGCCGCAGCGCCCCTTCCAGAGGGAGGAAACGCCGCTGCCTCGGCTGGCCCTCCTCCGAGAGCAGCAGCAGCAGCAGCAGCAGCAGCAGCAGCAGCAGCAGCAGCGTGGCGAGGGAGGGGGGCGAGTGAATCGGCCACGCGCAGGAGTGACCCTGGGCGAGAGTGGCCCTTGGTGCGCGGCTCCCAAGGGGGGGGGGGGGGGGGCAGCGATGGGGCCGACACCAGGCGCCCGCAAGCGCCGCTGCTGTCGCCTCGCGCTCAACGATTGGGGGGGGGGGGGCCCGATGAGCCCGCACCAAAGGCCACTCTGGCGACGGGTCACTCTCACGTGCAGGCGGGTGGAGGGGCGAGCGGGCCTTGCTGCCCACCTCGGGCGCGCAGCTGCGTCGGCGCCCGCCCGGCGGAGGAGCGGGCGCGCGCGCCCGTGCCTCGCTGGACGAGGGGTAGCGCAATACCATGCCAGCTTGCAGTTTGCACTACGGCCACGTCGCCCGAGTCGGCTCTAGGTATGAATGTCTGTATGCATGAATGTATGTATGCATGCATGTAAGTATGTAACGCATGGAGTGTATGTATTGTGTGGTATGTAATAGAATGTACTGTAATGCAATGCAATGTAATGTAATGAGAT